GCGAGCTTGGCGACCTAAGCTCGGTACCATTCCTGAGTAATGTAACCAATTTTCTTCTCTTTTCTTATGTGACCTTGGAAACCATTAGTTTCCCACATGAATGAATAGATATGTTTCTTCTCAAATTTGGTATCCTAATAAAGACTGAGCAAAATTTTCACATTTTCTCATCATTAAGTGGCCCAAACTTGTAAAAAAGAAAGAGAATGGTTAAAGCCTTTGTTACTTATTTGCTTCCAAATGGGATTGGGGAACTATTGGTTTTATGATTAGCTTCCTAAGTCTTTGCGTTTCTTCTTCACAATTAACTAAAACTCTGTTTTTTTTTTCTGACTTTGGCTTGCCGGGTGTTTCCTGGGGAGACTACTTATGTAGAAGTAAACCTATGCATCATCTCATAGCTTGGAAATGTAATAAACGCTAATGGTGTTGTCCTCAGTATGTTATAGCATAGCCTCAGTAAAACCCCGGAATCCATTCGTTTCAAAACAGTCCTCTACGTTTATTTCTTGTCCTTGCTCTTGAAGCTTGGACATAACAGTATTAAATGTTAACATAAGAGCATTGTGTAATTGATGACCAAGGCAAAAAGTAAGATGGAGAAAGCAGGGGAGACAGAAGGGAAGTGACCTTGTGCGGGTATGTCAATACAGAGGAGATGAGATTACTTTAGATACAGAGGAGAGGAGCAAAACTTAATATTAATCTTGTCCAAAGTGGATTAGTTGCTATAGGTGTGGACCACCACCAGCAAACTGCAAACATGCAAGATTAAGAGCACACACAGATTGGTAAGCATTGAGTATACACCGTTTTGACTGGACCAGATCCTTTAGCTTTCCATAAACTGAGTACACCTGCGAATGAGAAGAGACCTCTTATGCCATTTGAATGATCTTAAGTAACAAAGAGAGGCAATTCTAATCCTGTGAAACTGAATACACACCACTGAGACTCATAAATAGGAACCAACAAGCAAGTGGAGTGGTGGGTGATTAAAAAATGATCACACTAGCCTCATTGTTCGTTTGCGATGACGAGAAATCACATGATTCACAGCATCACAAAATCTTCTTTTATTTTCTCAATTCTTTTTCGACTTAATTTCAGAAAACCAAAGTTGGTATTATAATTGATATTTTTGTAATTAGATTAAATTAGATGTTATATTATACTCCTAGCAAAATAGTTGACAGAACTTTTTAATTCTGTTTTACATTCGCCGGTTAGGTTCAAAGGTCAGCTCTTCCAGGATAGCGAGGGAAGGGAATAACGTCTCTAATATTATCCATTCCTGTAGCAAAGAGAAGCATACGCTCCAATCCCAGTCCAAATCCAGAATGCTTCACTGTTCCATGACGTCTCAAGTCAATGTACCACTCGTATTCCTTAATTGGTAGACCCTTCTCCTCCATTCTTTTCATGAGAACGTCCATACGTTCTTCCCTTTGGCTTCCACCAATGAGTTCTCCAACCTTTGGAACGAGGACATCAAATGCAGCAACTGTCTCTCCATCATCGTTAAGTCTCATGTAGAAAGCTTTGATCTCTTTCGGGTAGTTATAGACAATAACAGGCTTTTTATACAAAACCTCTGTCAAGTGTCTTTCATGCTCAGATGCTAAGTCCATTCTCCGCTCCACTTGGTTTTCAAATTTCTTTCCTTTAGCCACAGCTTCCTCGAGTAGAGTTATTGCTTTGGTGTGTGTTACTCGTTCAAACGAAGTCAAGGCAACCATTTGTAGCCTGTGAATGCAGGCTTCGTCGACATTCTTCATAAGTTCCATGTCATCAAGACACTTTTCAAGCAAATATTGCATATGTCTTTCACAAGTGCCTCTGCGCAGTTCATAGCTTCCTCTACACCGGCAAAAGCTAATTCAACCTCAACCATCCAGAACTCAGCAAGATGCCTTGAAGTGTGAGACTTCTCTGCCTGGAAAGTCGGGCCAAATGTATACACATCTCCCATACTACAAGCATAGGTTTCCGCGTGTAACTGACCAGAAACTGTCAGGTAAGCTTGACGTGCAAAGAAATCTTGGGAATAATCAATTTTTCCATGTTTTCTAGGTAATCCAGTCTCCAACTTATCAGATTGGTTGATCAAAGTTGTCACTTGGAACATTTCACCAGCACCTTCGCAATCACTTGTTGTGATGATAGGAGTGTGAATGTAACATATATCATGTTTATCACAGAAAACGTGGGCCGCAAGACAAATCTTATGTCGGATTCTTGTAACTGCTGCCATCGTGGTGGTTCTTGCACGAAAGTTAGTATGGTCTCTCAAATACTCTAGAGTCAGCTTCGTCTTAGGAATCGGGTATGGAGTTTTACCGTGTTGATCCACTGTTCCCACGTCAATGACCTTCTCAGCGCTAAGCTCAATCTTCTGTTTCGTAGCTTTACCTTGCGGAGGAATCTTCAAACAACTATCAATGGTCAGACTAGTTCCGGTCGTAACCAACTTGGAGAGATCTGATGCAGAAGCATCCACCTTGACCTGAAGATTCGCTGCGCAGGATCCATCGTTCACCTCAAGAAAAGCGAAAGTCCCTTTTCCTTGCTCTCTTCCCTTTTTAACCCACCCGCTGATTTGGACCTTCTGACCCGCAAGTCCAGCTCCGCCGTTGGGTCGACCCAAAATCGATCGAATTCGGGTCCGACTCGGAGACCAGGTTTTATGCACCGTTGATGACGAGGCTCCGGCGTTGTCCAAAGGGACGGCGGCTAATTGATCTGTCGGCGGTGGTATCTTATCAGCCATTATTCTTAAGCCCTAAAGAGGTTTCAAGGTAATTAGATGGATGTCTTCAAAGTTCGGATATTTTGCTTTTTATATGTGGTTAGAACATCTCTCTATGTTAGTTCAAATTAATTTAAAAAACTAAAAATTAATTTTCATTAATGAGATACCTATAATAAAGTAATGAATATTTTCTATTGTTATCTTTTTTTTTTTTTAAACATATCAAATTACATCTTATTTATTCAATTGTGTTAACTAATTATAGTTATTTTGTAAAATTAAAATTAAAAAATCTGAGTTTTTTAAATATTATTTTATTGTATTAACTTAAACAATAATAATTTTGTATTTTGTATTAACCTTGAGTAATATCAATTAAAAGTAATATTAATATATAATACACTTATGTATAATATAACTTTATTGTGTGTGTTTTTGTCAATAAACTATATATTAAGAGAATGAAGACACAAAGGTCCACCTATGGATAAATATGATCTTATTCTACCATCCCGAGTGACATTTTTTTGCAATATTTCTACTTAAGAGCATCTCCAACTGACCTTCATTTTTGTTTTCATTTTCGATTTTAGAGTAAAATCTATTTCAACCCATCTCTATTTTTATCTCTTAAATAAAGATCTAAATTTTTTGCTCTATATATAGATGATCTCTATTTTTTCCTCTATAATAGAATTAGACTTTTTTTAGAAGAAAAAATAGAGGAATATACTGGAGTAAAGTCCACCTCTATTATAGAGTTTCTCTATTTTAGAGGCAAAATTAGAGAAATACATTGGAGATAGTCTAAAGTGTTATACTCATCATCTATAATGAATTATCATACAATTTATTAAAAATTTGGAAATGTGATAAAATTTTATAAGGTTGCATATACATTGTTAGGTCTGGACGTTCGGATACACGTATTGATTCGGTTTGGGTTTAGGCCTGGAGGTTCCATTCATGTATTTTATATATGCAGGTCATGTTCGGTTTTGGTTATTTCGGTTCGGATATCCGAAACATAAAAAAAATCTAGAAAAATTGGTTTGATTTGAGAAAACTTTGGATAATTTTTTATAAATATAACAATTTTGTTTTCGATATTTCAATTATTTTAGCAATTCTAGTTATTTGATCTATTTATAATATTTGATATTTTTAGATTTATAATATTGGTATAATTGGGCTACATGAAGCCTATAATAATTATATTTTGGCTTCAGTTCGGTTATTCGAATATAGAAATCATCCATTCGGATATTTATTAGTGTTTGGTGCAAATATTTTGAAGATAACTCGATAGAGATTAGGAAGAATCGATGATAATAAGAAAGTGCTTCAAGTTTTGAGAGTGCGTAGATTTGTTTCTATATTTTTTTTCCATATTGTTGTCAAAATTATTTGAGCAAATTATATATATATATATATATATAGAACTAATTAAATAGAAGTACAGAACTAAATAGAAGCAATGAAGTGAGCAAAGAAGGAAGCGAGTATACAAAAAATGTAAGAAGCAATAAAAAAGTAAGTAAGCATGTAAGAAAACAATGAGAGAAGTAAAGAAACAAAGAATCAAAGAAGTAAACATGTAAAAGAGTTGAGCAACGAATGAATCAGTTGAGTAAGCGAATATATCAAACAATCAAAGAAATAAAGAAAGCGACAATACGTAAACAAGTTAATTGCATGTATGGCTCGAGCAAACAATTAAGGAAGAAAATAAAGAAAAAAATCAAAGAACCAAGAAGCAAGCATGCACACAAATTAAGAAATGAATGAAGCAATATAAAGTGAGCAACGATCAAATAATCAAAGAAACAAACAAGAAGTAAACAAGTTAAACATGTAAGCAAACAGAGAAAAAAAAACAAGAAAGAAACAACGAAGAAAAAGAAGCAAAAGAAGCAACGAAGAAAGCAAGAAAACAATGTAAGTAAAGAAGCAATCAATGAATCAAGAAAGTAAATATGCATGAATGTAGGTATAGATGCACACATGAATGTATGTTGTATGCATGTATGCATATATGAATGTATGGATGAATGAATGTATGTATCTATGCATGTATGACTGTATATATGCACACATGAATGGAGGGAGATTTAAGATCACACTATCAAAGAGGTCGGTTGTTCTGACAGATTTTCAGAGTTCTGGAAGCTGAGTGTGGAAGAGGATGATCAAGCTTCGGCCGTTTACAAGACTGTATCTCCTTTTTTTTGATCAAAAAAGACTGTATCTCCTTTATCAGCTAATTTGGCCATTAACCTACCTTTGGCTCATGTGAAGAGTCGACCAGTGGGTTGTCAAACAATGTCAAGCAGCGATCTGCAATGAGAGGAATTCCATGCTCCAGAGAATAAAGACACACGTCTGCTTATTTCAAATCAACGTTTTATGACTTCTTTTTAGCTTTGCATTTGCATCCCAAATCTGACCAGTGTGCCTAGTAAGTGTTCACATTAGAATTCCATTAGAAAGAGAAGAAAACCGTGAGCAACAACTACACATTGTTGAATATGTAAATCTTACCATCCACATCACATATAGTATATATGAGAACTTTGTTCTGTAGAATCTTAGGCCATCCCCTTTTTTCCTGTCCTTCAACAGTAGTCACAAACATTTTCGGAGTTTGGGCATATAGACACCTAAGATTGAAAATAACATGCTATAGGAAATCATTAAGAAGTTTAGTTTGGATTGTTAGTGACAAAGTATAAGGATGGTTATAGCATATTTCCAATCTACTAGTCGTTTAGCTATGAGCATGTTTACCTATTTAGCTGCCAGGCACTATCTCTTTCCAATATGATCAGTTTTAGCAATGAAGCTTTGAAGCTGCAATGATACTATTATGCTTGCTCCGCATCGTCTTCAGTCGAAGTCTCAACCTATAACATCTATTCCTTAAATATATTAACCTTTGAGAAAGAGAAACAAGCTTTACCTTGTTCTTCCCTGTTAGCTAAATCGAATATGCATAAATATGAATGACCGAATTAGAATAAGAACAAGAGGACTAAATTACAATACCTTGATGCATTCATGTTTCTCTTACTAAATTATATCGTTCTCAGCAGCTTAATGTTGTACTAATTCCCACACCAGGAACACGATTATGGAAATCCATCTGAAACAGCAGAAGTTAATCACCAAATTAGATAGATTTACAAAAGTCTCTTCTCTTGTTCTATTTTTTCAAGCTTCTTCCCTGTGGAAAACACACATTTGTTAACTGAATCAGAGACTCAATAATTCAATTCGATTAAGAACAAGAGCATTAAATTTACATTACTTTGATGCATTTCTGTTTCTCTTACTAAATCATGATGATGATGGTTGTATTGATCCCATGAACACTTATTAACGAAATCCAACTGAAACAGCAGAAGTTCATCACCATATATTAGCACAAAGAAAAATATCTGATAAAATCAGAATGAAACCTGGAAAAGGAAGCAGATAAGCGGAACTCATTGCATAGATAATCTTCTCTTAGAGACTTTGTTCTTCCTGCAACTTATGCCATTACTTATACCACATACTAACAAATAACAAAATTAGAAACAAACCAAGAGAGAAAGTTAAGAGGAAGAATAATCGTAGAACTTGATCCTTGTCTTTCCGATAGTCTTTGTGGTAGCAACATTAATGATGTCGAGGACTTTGCCTTGTAACCTAGTACTATTAAAGCACAATAAATATTAAAGTGGAAAATAAACTGAGACAATTAGAGAGCAAAGAGCAAGCGATAGAAAGTAAGAAGCCGTCTTTCGGCTAACCTAGCCTCGGTAAAGAAAGAAAGACCGTAAAGAAACACGGAAGCAAGTTAACTAAAGAATTAAGGAAAAAAAGACAGTATGTAAGAAATTAAGCATGTAACCAACGAAACAATGAAGCCAATTAACCAAGGAATCAAGGAAGAAAATGCAAAAGCAAGCAAGTTAGTAAGAAAATAATATAATCCAGGAAGCAAGAAAGGAACACAAACAAACCAAGAAGCTGGTAATTAAGCAAGGAATAAAAAAATAAAAGAAGAAAACAAGCAAGTAAGGAATGAAAGCAGAAAGTAACTAAGGAAAAGGATCAGACAATGAATCAAGGAAGCAAGTGAGTAATAACAAATCAAAGAAACATATAAACAATTATGAATAAATGTATGTATGTATGCATGTAACAAATGCGTAAACAGGGAATCAAAGTAGAAAATAAGGAAGAAAGTTAGCACGCAAGTAACCAAAGAAGGAAGCTAGGACATATTAGCACGCAACGCAAGTAACAAAGGAGGGAAGCTGATTAGTAAGCAAGGAATGAAGAAAGAAAAAAGGATGCAAACAAGCAAGTATGTAAGTAAGTAAACAGAGAATCAGACAAAGAATCAAAGAAGCAATTATGAAAGTGCAAGGGAAGCAAGTATGCAACTATCCATGTATGTATGTAGCATGTATGTATGTATGAATGCATGGATGCATGAATGTATGAGTGCATGCATGTATGTGTGTATGCATTCTTCAATTGATTACCAACAATCAATCAAGAATTCTCTGTTTTCTGAGTTTTAAGATACGATTCTAGGCTCTGAAATTTGCAGCTGCAGAAGAAACATGACAGAACATCAAACTCCAAGAACAAAATCAAAAGACCAAGCAGAAAAAAAAAAGATTAAAGAGAACATATTTGGAAAAAAAAAAACTAAGACAACTGTACTTTGTGTTTATTAACATACCAAAGAGCAGCTTCCTTGATTAACTATGATGAACCAGAACCACAAAATCACCTGAAATAATAAGAACAATTTTGTAAATATTTCCAAACTCTAATTAGCACAAAAGAAAATAGAAACACATAGGTCAGAAAAACCTCACCAGTTTTAAATTCTTCATCGAGAACTAACTTGATCAGACTCCAAAATTTCCATAACTTGTTTCTCTCCATATAGTTCAACTAACCAAAAATTCCAGAAATCACAAGAGATAATCCTGAAAATAATATTAAAATGGTGGATCAAATGAAAATCACAATCAATTCAATGAAAAATACACAAGTAGAGAAGAAGAGCGTCGTCTTCTTCTTCAATGGCAAAGAAGACTCAAACACAGTGATGCAGCAACACAATCTATACTAAACACAGAGCATCACAACACCACTTTATCTTTGATTACCATCCACAAAATCTAAGCCATAAACAAATCTTCCAATCTCGCGATCGTTATCAAAACCAAATCAAACAAATCACAATCGGCAAAAACTTTCGTAAATGGTATTGACGATGAGATAACAAAATCGATCGTGACAAATCAAACGCCGGAGGATTAACGTACCGATCCAACAAATTAAGTAACATGAACAAATAAAGAAAACTAATCTAATCAAGTAACAGAGAAACACAATTCATAAAACAGATCAAAATCGAGGAGTCATAATCATCGGAATTGCATCTACGAAACCCTAAATTCGAGAGTTTGATCTCTCGAGTAACTAACCTTAGAATCGATAATCCTAGCCGAAGTGAGAGATCGTCCTTTCAGGATCATGATCGTCGGTGACCCAAGCAACATCGCCGGAAAAAAAAGCACCGGTACTTAACTTCTCCAGACATTTTGCGAAAATGAGAATTTAGGGTTTTCTGAAAAAATGAGAGATTTGTAGAGAGATTCTGCTTCTTCAAACGGTCTAACTCCGATTTTATTCCGTTATATAGAAGAATTCGAAATTTGAAAAATAAAGATTTCCAAGACAAAAGACCCGTTTCGAAAAATTCCAGCTGTGTACACGTCATAATTGTCATGTGCAACAAGCCAACAACAAGTTTGAGCTAAACCAGGATTTTAAATTTTTGGTTTAGTGTGAAGGCCTGAATTTCTTTTGGTTAAAGCATAACCATGATGTAACAACCACTGTGATCTCATGAACGATTTTAGATTGGTTCGGTTTTTATTTTGAAATGTGACCTTAATTTCTAAGTCTAACCTAATTAGAGCGAAGCAACTACAGTCAAACTTGAGATCATGCTATTTTATTAATTTATAGTGATATTAGTTTATACTTTACATTAATATTTATTAACTAATTGAAAAATTTGTTTCGATTGTTCAAGTTTTAGAAAAATATGAGTTGAGACAATTCGATATACATAAAACTAAGGGCGACTCACAAAAATACCCCTTTTCAAAAATGCCCCATTTAGCTGTCCATTTTTAAAAATACCTCTTTTATGTACAAAATGACTAAATTACCATTCTTTTAATAAAAAATATCACAAATATATAAGGAAATATAATAAAATTAGGTCCACAAAATATAAAATATTTTTTGGCGGGAAAAGTGATCCCGCAATTTTTCCCGCCAAAACACTTGTAAAAACTTGTAAAACCTTTAAAATACCTTGTAAAATTTTTTCCCGCCAAAAATTTTTTTTTTGCGGAAAAAGTGATTCCGCAATTTTTTTGGCGTTAAATTTTTGGCGGGAAAAATTTACAAGGTATTTTAAAGGTTTTTTACAGGGTATTTATAAGGTTTTACAATGTATTTTAAAAGGTTTTACAACGTATTTATAAGATATTATAAGATTTTACAAGCTATTTTATAAGGTTTTACAAGTTTTTTATAAGGTTTTACAAGTTATAAATACCTTATAAAAGCTTATAAGTACCTTGTAAAACTTTTTAATTCCATTGTAAAACCTTACAAAATACTTGTAAATACTCCGTAAAACCTTTAAAATACCCTGTAAATTTTTTCCGCCAAAAAATTTCCCGCCAAATAAATTTCGCCAAAAAATTTGCGCAATCACTTTTCCCGCAAAAAAAAAATTTTGGCGGGAAAAATTTTACAAGGTATTTTAAAGGTTTTTACAAGTGTTTTGGCGGGAAAATTGCGGGATCACTTTTCCCGCCAAAAAATATTTTGTATTTTGTGGACCTAATTTTGTTTCAAATAAGGGTAAAATGGTCATTAAAAATTAAAAGAGTGCAAACTTAAAAATGGACTCTCAAAGGGGGCATTTTTGAAAAGGGGTATTGAAAAAGTGGCATTTTTAACAATTTCTCTAAAATTAATGATTTGGATGTTATAATTTTTAAGAAACTCATAATTTTGTTTATATACGGTTAATTTATATACGTTATTTATAGCAAACTCATATTGGTTTGTTGGCTTATTTGAAAATGTTTAATGATGTGAACTAATGGAACATACATTTGCTTACATTTGAGTCACTAAAGCAATGAACGACATATATATATATATATCCGTTGTTCATATCCCGTTTGTTAGGTGTACTAGTATGATTCATTTTCTTAACTTTGAGTTTTACGATAAAGCTGTTTGTGTACGATGATTTTACGATAAAGCTGTTTGTATAGTTAGTTTGATATGAAGAAATCATCGTTTTACCCACAGCCTCGTCCTCTGTGAATCTCTTGAGGTCCGTCTCGATGAAAGCCTCGACTCCCTTTTTCCCCAATTTCACCGTTGATGCAAAGAAAGAAACATCTATTATCTTGGACTGCACAAAACAAAACTGGACGATATCTTCAGCCCCATCATGGGCACGAAGCAATGAAAGAACAAAGAGTTCTACTCCTCGGACTTCATACTTCTCAAACGGTTCAGGTACATAGAACACAATACTCTGAAATTCAAAAGACACATACATCTCAACTTCTTCCGACCATAATCTCCTCTCTTGTTTGGTTAGGATTTCAAGAGGTTGGGGCTTGGTTTTTGAGAACATCGGCAAAGTGGTCCTCTGGTTAACGAACGCTTTAGCCAATTCAACCTCTAGCGTCATGAGGCCAAAAAGCTTGTTTGGGTCATAAATGCGTCTCTCTATCAAAATCTCGGCTAAAAATTATTTGATACTTTTATTTGCTAAAAATTATTTGATACTTTTTTATAATTACTTGTTACTGAAATACTAATGTTTAAATTATTATTATAATTTTGATTTGATCCATAAAAACTAAAATCCAAAACTTTCCTTGCGACAAAACTCATCAACGTAACATTGGATATTATGTATGAAATAGATATTTTCATATCAAATCTTTTGGATTCAAGTAACAAGTATTTAATTTTGACAAGTAACAAAGCATATCAAATAACTTGCAAGTAATTAAATTTTGGACGGATACTTAATCTAGCAAATACTTGTTTTGGACATGTCAACTGTCAAGTAACAAGCTAACACTTCAATTACTTGTACAAAAGAAACCGAAAATATCTTTAAATTAGCAAGTACTTGGCTTGTCTAGACATGAATTAGATGTTATATTATACTCCTAGAAAAACAGTTGACTCTTAAACTTTTATTCTGTTTTACATTATTGATTAATAATATTAAATATGAGCAAAAAACCACTCTTATTTTTAAGAAAAAAGATTAGTCGAAAATGATTATTACTTAAAATAAATGTAAAAACTTAAAAAGGAATTGCTAATAAGAATCTATGTCACCAATCATAGCCTCGAATGTGGGGTTTTTGTGACAGCTTGCTTTCTCACATTTGGTCAAGCTAGCCATTTTTCTCACCGGCACAAAGTACTTAAACAAACATATCATGTCTTTTTTTTTTTTCTCTTAATCTAAATCCAGTTTTTCCTTAACAAAACCCGAACTTGTTTCGTGTTTGGTACAAAGGAAGATGTTGAGAAACCGACTTGAGTTCTTCTTCTCCTCTTCTTCTTCTTCTACTCATTAAACAAAAAAAAAGTTGCAATCTTTTTCCCTGGATTCTTGTTTGCAACCTACCTATAATTCTGGGTATTTTCTTATTCAGATTCTCCTTAAAGTTCTCCTTTTGTTCCTTAGAAAAATACAATCTTTTTTTCTTTCTCTTTCCCTTGTGGATTTGGATGATTGGGTTTGATTTACAGTTCATTTCTAGTCACCATTACGCGTTTCTTTCTTCTTCCGTGTCAAGCTTTCCTTCTACCTTGGGAGATTCTTTAATACTTATTCTTCCCTTTGTTCTTTTCTGTTTTTGCCTTAGTCAGATCTGCATTTGTTGTTGTCGAAACCAAAAAGGAGGAAGACGAAGAAGACGAAGAAGAACATCGGAGGACTAAGTTAGTTTCTTTCTTCTCTCTTGGAGTAGATATAAAGCTACTTCCTTTTTCCCAAATGACTCAGATTTGCTCTTCTTCAATGTTATTTACAGGTAAAGTTTGTATCTTGGGGGTTTCTTGGCTACGAATTCATGACTTCTTGGCTCAATAAGATTTGAGAGCGTGAAGGGTCTTTGAGAAGTTGTTACAATGGCGTCTAGAGAAGGAAAGAGACGTAATCATCATCATAATCATCATGATGAGAAGCTTGTGCCTCTTGCTGCTTTGATAAGTAGAGAGACGAAAGCTGCTAAAATGGAGAAACCTATTGTGAGATTTGGACAAGCTGCTCAATCTAGGAAAGGAGAAGATTATGTCTTGATCAAGACTGATAGTCTTCGAGTTCCTTCCAATTCTTCAACTGCTTTCTCTGTTTTTGCGGTATATACCTCAGTTACATTGTCTTAATAGTTATGATATATTACTTCTTGAGTCTCAGGACAATCGAAATGCATATTATTAAGTCTTTGTATTGGATCCTAACTGTCTGATGGTTTAGCTAGATGCTTTGTGTGGACAAAAAGCTATTTATGCATTGACTTTGTTTGTGTCATTTGCTTCTGTGTTATGACTGTCTATAGTTTTGTGTTTTTGGACTGTTAGGTGTTTGATGGGCACAATGGAAAAGCAGCAGCGGTTTATACAAGGGAGAATCTGTTGAATCATGTTATTAGTGCTCTTCCTAGTGGGCTTAGCCGTGATGAGTGGCTTCATGCTTTACCTCGTGCATTAGTTTCTGGATTTGTGAAGACCGATAAGGAGTTTCAGAGCAGAGGTGTGTGAATTACAAATCATCTATCGCTCTTTTGATGGATCTTTACTTGTGGTTGATCGAATGAATGAATGAATGATGTGTGGTTTATTCCTCTCTTGATACCAGGGGAAACTTCTGGAACAACAGCAACGTTTGTGATAGTAGATGGATGGACTGTGACCGTTGCGTGTGTTGGGGATTCCCGGTGCATCTTGGATACTAAGGGTGGTTCTGTTTCCAACCTTACTGTGGATCACAGGCTCGAAGATAATACAGAAGAGTATGTACCTGAAATGAAGCTTTTGGTTTTGGATTTTAAATCATAACCTTTATCTAAACCCATCTATCATGATTCAGGAGGGAACGGGTTACTGCTAGTGGTGGAGAAGTTGGCAGGCTAAGCATTGTCGGAGGTGTTGAGGTATGTTCTGTTCTGTTTTATTCCAATTTAGTGTTTCCCATTCAGCGGCAGCTCACTTTCGAGTCTCGGACAAAATATGAAATTCTGTAGATTGGTCCTCTACGGTGTTGGCCTGGAGGTCTCTGCCTTTCAAGGTCTATTGGGGATATGGATGTTGGGGAGTTCATTGTTCCAGTTCCCTTTGTAAAGCAAGTGAAGGTACTAAAATATTCGGTGTTTCCTTATAGACTTGCTATGTCATTTCACAAAGAAAATCTCATACTGTTCTTCACAATTGGTGTATATAATTAAAGCTATCAAACATTGGCGGAAGGCTTATAATCGCCTCGGATGGCATATGGGATGCTCTCTCCTCAGAAGTGGCTGCCCAAACTTGCCGTGGATTACCCGCTGATCTAGCTGCAAGACAAGTAGTTAAGGTAAATGAATTTTCTTAACCCAGTTTCAAATTTGTGTAATCTTTGCTTGGAAAGAAGTGACTATAGATTCATGATTTGTGTTGCAGGAAGCATTGAGAAAAAGGGGACTTAAGGATGACACAACCTGCATTGTGGTTGACATAATCCCACCCGAGAACTTCCAAGAGCCACTGCCTTCACCTCCTAAGAAGCACAACAACTTCTTTAAATCATTGCTCTTTAGAAAGAAATCAAACTCATCTAACAAACTCTCCAAGAAACTTTCCACTGTTGGTATCGTTGAAGAACTCTTCGAAGAAGGTTCCGCAATGCTCGCAGAAAGGTCACTCCATGTTCTCCCTTAAGACTTAGAAAATGGTTGCCTTTGTGTCCTATCTAACAACTTTTCTCTGTTATTACTCGCAGGTTAGGATCAGGTGACTGTTCTAAGGAATCAACAACAGGAGGAGGGATATTCACGTGTGCAATATGTCAACTAGACTTAGCTCCAAGCGAGGGAATATCAGTCCATGCAGGTTCAATCTTCTCGACAAGCCTAAAACCGTGGCAAGGACCGTTCTTATGCACAGACTGTCGTGACAAAAAGGACGCGATGGAAGGGAAACGCCCAAGCGGAGTTAAAGTCATATAGAATGAAAGATGGTAATCTGCATCATCTTGCACACACACACTCTCTATTCGTTCATTATAATTCTTTCTTCTTTTGTTCTTTTGTTGTTACATCTACGCCTCCATTCGAATAAAAATTTGAGTAGACCTGATTCTATATGGATCTGAGAATCGGGTTCGATATAGTGAGTTTGATTGATTGGTATACAATGTGTAAAAGCTTGTGTTTATGCTGAAAACAAAACAGATATATGAAAAGTTTGGATAAAACTCTTTATCTTTGCCATTCTTTAAAATGTTGTTATTTTGTTAGAAGTAGACCTATTGATGTCTATAAGTAACACAAACTATATAGATAAGAATATTGATTGCGTAAGGATGGTCGTAATGTGGAGCCTAGGACAACACGAGTTTCGTATGGTATGATTCAAATACTTTTGTAGGACCTGCACTTAAAGCATACGCTTTATTTTGTTCTCCTTTGGTATATTTTTTCTTATTACTCAATCAACTTATGTTTTTGGAAAAAGGTCAAAAGGCAAAAGATTATTCTATATTCGGATTGTTTTTTCTTTCCAAAACATATTTGAAAATAGTGTATAAATTCTGTCATGAAATTATGGGACTTTGGTACTTTACATATTCATTATATTTTGAAAAAAAAAGATTTGTCATGAAGTTATGGGACTTTACATTCATTATACATATACTAACTTGAAAATAACATAGATTTGTCAGATTTTTAGTAGTAGTATTAAAAAAAACAGTAATGGAATTTGTAAGGTTGCGAAATATACTTGATGGGGAACAATTTTGCTTGAAACAAGCAAAATAAATACATTGTTGAAGCAAAAGCTTAGCTTCTTCTGCTTTATTATGAAAAAGGCCAAAAAGCTCTTATGCAGCGATAAATCAACAATCAAAAAAAGAAAAGCCCCACACATTTCGCTTTATTTACCAGATTGTCCCCTTCTTTGGAAAAAATCAGGCCAAAAAAAAAAAATAAATACAACAAAGAACGAGTTTTGGAATTTGTAAGATTTGATTGACATAGAATTTAATTCTTGGTTACGGAGACTAATTATGAGCATTAATCTTCTTCACATGGTGACCAGTTTAGCACGTGAGAATCACAGTCACGCGTGTGAGCAAAAACACAAAAAAAACCTATACTTTATTACCGTTACGGGGAAAATCAAAACCCTTTGACTATTTATAACCCTTAGTCAAATCTGAAACCGATCGTACGGTCACAGTAAATAGCAAATAAGGGTACATTAGTCATTTCACATCCGTTAAGTTTTTACGTTACTGTTTTGCGTTAATTACGACCATACCACTTTCCTTGTTCTGTCTTGAAGTCCTCAACGCTCGTTTCTATTCCCTCACTTTTCTTTCTCTCGTCTCTGCAAAATTTAACAGAGCACAACAATGGCCAAAAGCTCTTTCTTCAATAAGCATTTGCTTCTCTCTCTTCTTCACTGTTGTCTCCTTTCTTCTTCTTCTTCAACCTCCGACTCAGAAACTCTCTTGAACTTCAAACTCACTGCAGATTCCACCGGAAAACTAAACTCATGGAACAAAACAACAAACCCATGTCAATGGACCGGAGTCTCCTGCAACCGCAACAGAGTCACACGGCTCGTCCTCGAAGACATCGAACTCACTGGGTCAATCTCACCACTAACCTCACTCACATCACTCAGAGTTCTTAGTCTCAAACATAACAGTCTCTCTGGTCCAATCCCAAACCTCTCGAACCTCACAGCTTTAAAGCTTCTCTTTTTATCACACAACCAATTCTCCGGTAACTTTCCTTCATCAATCACTTCACTCACTCGTCTTTACCGTCTTGATCTCTCTTTCAACAACTTCTCCGGTGAGATTCCACCGGATTTAACCAATTTAAACCATCTCCTCACTCTCCGGTTAGAATCAAACCGGTTCTCCGGTCAGATACCGAACATCATCATCTCCGATTTACAAGACTTCAACGTCTCCGGTAACAACTTTAACGGTCAGATACCAAATTCATTGTCTCAATTCCCTGAATCAGTCTTTACACAAAACCCATCTCTCTGTGGAGCACCATTGCTAAAATGCACCAAGCTCTCTAGCGACCCGACTAAACCGGGTCGACCCGATGGAGCAAAGGCTTCACCTTTAAACAACTCGGAAACTGTACCTTCATCTCCAACTTCAATTCACGGCGGCGACAAAAGCACGACGAGAATCAGCACCATCTCACTAGTAGCTATCATCCTCGGAGACTTCATTATCTTAAGCTTTGTCTCTCTTCTTCTCTACTATTGTTTCTGGAGACAATACGCAGTGAACAAGAAGAAACACTCAAAGGTTCTTGAAGGAGAGAAGATTGTTTACTCATCAAGTCCTTACCCAACATCAGCCCAAAACAACAACAATCAGAATCAACAAGGTGGTGAGAAGGGTAAAATGGTCTTTTTCGAAGGAACTAGACGTTTTGAGCTTGAAGATCTTCTCAGAGCATCGGCGGAGATGTTAGGTAAAGGAGGATTCGGGACGGCGTACAAAGCCGTGCTTGAAGACGGTAATGAGGTTGCGGTGAAGCGGCTTAAAGACGCGGTGACGGTGGCCGGAAAAAAAGAGTTTGAGCAACAAATGGAGGTTTTAGGAAGGCTACGTCATACTAATCTTGTGAGCTTAAAAGCTTATTACTTTGCTAGAGAAGAGAAGCTTCTTGTTTATGATTACATGCCTAATGGTAGTCTCTTCTGGCTTCTCCATGGTACGTCGTCGTTTTTGGTTCCTTTCTCTTACTAATTCTGGAAATTAATCACTAATTAGTTGCCTAAGGTTTATGTTTCCATAGGAGTAGAAATTATGGTAAATGGTAGGGTCAAGTGACTCTTAATTCATGGTACATAGGAAATGACATTAGTATGGTTAATTTATTTTTGGACTTAGTGAGAATGAGTTATCATTTTTTTATATGTTAGAAAAATGGTTGGAAAATCATTTTCATGGGGCATTTATTATTACTATATAGATAATGAGAATTTAAGTCTACTAGCATTGGCAACAAGTTGGATAAATAAAGTTCTGATCTGTCTCATTTAACTTGCTCTTTTTGGGATTTTTTTTCCTTTTTGTTTAGTTTCTACTTTCTAGTGTTTGTCTTTACCTAACCATTTGTTAATTCATTGCTTTAGTAAGTAATAAAGCGACTAATTATATATTCATTGTGTTTTGGACAGGAAACCGGGGACCGGGTAGGACTCCATTGGACTGGACCACGCGCCTTAAGATTGCAGCGGGTGCAGCGCGTGGCTTAGCTTTCATCCATGGCTCGTGTAAAACCTTGAAGCTCACACACGGTGACATCAAATCCACCAATGTGCTACTCGACAGATCAGGCAATGCTCGTGTTTCCGATTTTGGGCTGTCTATTTTCGCGCCATCGCAAACTGTTGCTAAATCCAACGGCTACCGTGCACCGGAGCTGACTGATGGTCGAAAACATACTCAAAAGTCTGACGTTTACTCATTTGGAGTGCTTCTTTTGGAGATTCTCACTGGGAAATGTCCTAATATGGTGGAGACGGGTCATTCGGGTGGTGCGGGTGGGGCGGTAGATTTACCGAGATGGGTCCAATCAGTGGTGAGAGAGGAGTGGACGGCTGAAGTGTTTGATTTGGAGCTGATGAGGTATAAGGATATAGAGGAAGAGATGGTGGGGTTGTTGCAGATTGCTATGGCGTGCACGGCGGTTGCGGCGGATCACCGTCCAAAGATGGATCATGTTGTGAAGTTGATAGAGGATATACGTGGTGGTGGCTCTGAGGCTTCACCGTGCAATGATGGGATCAATTCTGCGGTGGACTCGCCGTGCTTGTCCGAGGACACTTGCGGTGGGACTACAAGTCAGTAGTAAGATTCGTTTGCTTAAAAAATGTAAATCACGTGCTTAGAATCTTGACTTTTCATTCTTCTGAAATCATAACACTTCTAGTGTCGTAGGCTTTGTTTTTTCTTTGTTTTTTTTTAGTTTGTAATACGAGGATTATGTGAGTCGAGTGTTTTGGATTAGGGGTAAACAAAAGTTCCATCTTTATTTTTGCTGAAGCTACCCAATAGCAAAAAACATATCGTAAAATTAGACACCAAAATAATGTTTTATGTAGTTCTATTTTTGTGTATTCAACGTAAGGTTTTGCTTTTTAATTTAATATTAATTAACACAATTATAAGTATAGTTATCCTCTAGTTTCTTCTTGCGATCGTCGAGGATTGTTTGTTTGGTGGTAAATTAACCTTACGAACATTAGGTCGTTTATTTAGAACACCGTCTTACAAAAATTTCCTACCGCTAGCTCAAATTAAATGGTATTTTCGAGTTTAAGAATAATGAAACTCTGGTTTACAAAAAAAAAAAGAATAATGAAACTCTTTTTCTCTTCTACATTGTAATTGTTTGAAATTTAATTGATTTGTAAACTATCTTCTTCAAAGGTTGGACTACGAGTTATGGAATCATTTTTTAAGTTAATGTGTGATTGACAAAAAAAAGTAAGGTGGTGTTATTCATGATGGATTTTAATAGAATTGAAATCCAACACTAATCCAGTGTTATTCAACTAATGATTATAAATCTAACGTTAAAATCTGGTGTTATTAGATCTTATACTTCATTAGATTTTAAAAGTTTGGTGTTATTCAATGGTGGAGTTAAAGTCAATTCTTTAAGGTTTGTAAAATCCAGTGTTATTCAAAACTAAAAGACTTGTAAAATCTTTGTATATTAAGTCATTTCAAATGAAACCTCGTTGGAGTTTCATGAGTAAATTATTAGAATCAAATTCCAAGATATACTGTAGAGATTTTGAAATCCACACAAACAGATTCTTAAAACCAATATCAGAAAACAAATCTAAACCTTAAAGAATTGACTTTAACTCCACCATTGACTACTATTTACACCAATCATCACCTAGTCTAGGTATTAACTAAGGATGTGCTTACTCTAGAAAGTCGGGGCCTAAATGAGAGGAACGCCCACTAGAGATGCCTTAAAGTCCGGTCCATTATTAGTATTTCTCCGACGATAGAAATGACTTTATAGAGTTATGTGGCAAGCATGTGCGCATGTTATCGCATAGTATGCCTTGTTTGAAAAATCGCTAGGCGCTAGTCGGGCGCTCGGCATGGGCCTAGCGATTAATCGGAAAATCGGACTAAAATCGGGGATTAATCGGGGATTAGTTTTAGGGTTATTTTAATATTTTTAAAACATATTAATCCAATATTATTTTCAAAATTGCGGTAAACACATAAAAATGTATTTTTGAGACAAATTTTTATGATTTTTATTACAAATTTATGATTTTTATTAAAATTTGAACATAAATTATTGTAAAACATTACAAACTCTCAATTCAAATGATTGAATAACAAAAATAAAAAGTTTTTTTATACTAGCAATCTAAAAATAATCGGGGTATGTAAGATTAGGCGGGGAATAATCGGATTAGGCGGGAAGTAATCGGATTAGGCGGAGAGTAATCGGGTGACTGATTTCTTTAAGGGATTAGTCATTAATCGAGGCGGATAGGGTGGGCCTAGCGATTAAGCGGGGAGTAATCGAGTCTAGGCGGGGATTTTTAGAACAAGGATAGTATGTAACATTTTCGTCTTCTATATAGTATACATAGTGGTAGAGTTACACGATAGTCAACTAAATAAACATAAAATATCTAACATATGTAGTCGTTGAAGCTTGTTTCGTCGGCTGATATTACGGAATTAAAAAGAGAAATAAGTTAAATGCAATGTGTAGATGAATGCAATGCAATATAATACTCCTCATATACAATATTACAGTGAAATTGAAAAATAAAAAAAATAAATGAAAGAAGAATAATAATAATCAGAAATATAAAACAGTACGTGAAAGCCTGAGCAACCGGTCGAGAGCAGTAGGCAAGAACTTACGAGCAAATAAATAACAAATATTCGTCTCTTCTCCATTGTAGAGACACTCACCTCCACTCCTCAGATTCTCCATGAACTCTGCAGTCACCTCGTGTCTAATAAACCGGTTCGGGTGCGGGCCACCTTTCGACCAGTCGACCCACGTGAGAGTCCGGTTCGAGTTGCGATGGTTCAGGCTTGATTTGATGTTGAGTAGTGTAGGAATGTAGTGCTCGTCCGCGTAGCAACCGTGGTGGCAGTAACTATAAAAGAGAGGCCAATATATTCTATCGGAGATGATCTCAAGAGCCATGTCACGGTCCACCTCGAACCACTGGGAGCCTTTGCGCCAGTGGTGTAGCTGGACATGTGGCTGCATTAGAGGGCTATATCGGCCACGTCCAACGCCACCAAGTTGGTCATAGGACTCAACGTGAGTTTGAGTTGAGTTAATGAGGTAAGAGTAAACAGTGGTGAAGTTGAAAAGAGGGATGCATGATTCGGAGAGAAGTACAAATCGTTCGTTTGATATGTCTAATAAAGCATTTGCTAGTAATCTTTGTTCTGCTTCCACCATATTCACATATCCCCAATCCACTCTCTGCATTATCAATAAAGAAAAAAGAAAGAATTTAGAAGAAACCCGCATTGAAAATTATAATAATAGATTGTCAATTATTGAGTATATAAAACCTTTGCAATATGTTTTTAAGCAAAATAAATGTTAAAAACGAAAAACATAATGTCCCACGTTGCAAATGATTTTCATAAAAGTGAAAAGTAGTTTGATGACGCCATGTTTTATATTAAGAAATTTAACAAACTTTGACTACAAAAGAAAGATAGCGATGGACATGACATAATAACCGGAATTGCCGACTCGATCCGTTACTATTCTTCTTTGACCCGAGTTTTTGGGTATTTGAATGCTTGGATACATATGTATACGAGTACACGTAAATATCTCTTATAGATCAAATACTCGAGTACCATAACTTTCTAAGAATCCGACTAATGTACACCCTTAAAACAAAATTCTATTCATATGAGTATGACCGCGTGTAAGAATGGACCAAGAAAAAAAGAGTCGTCATCGTTTGAGAGAATAAAATTCCAAATTGTTAACCACACCTTCCGTAGAAACTTCCTTATTAAGAAGTTCTAAAAGAGACACACAAGCCGCCGTTAACAAAAGTCACATCATAAGAGAAGATTGATGAATCATACCTTGAGAAAGTCAGGGAAATAATTACGTTTGTGCCAAATAAATTAATCAAGCACTAATAAGTAACACTTTTTTATTTATTTACGGGTAATACATGCGTTGGTGCCTCAAATACTTGTCGGCAAAAACGATATGTTTTAACTAATGAAGAGACCATGCAATACTTTATATTTTTTTAAAAAACGAAACCATGCAATTTACTGTATTATATTATTTGATAGCACTGGCACCGACGGACCACAACCAATTGCTTGATTAAAGGTATAATAGTTTATTTAACCAAAAGCAAACCGTAATGTGCAAGATAATCTACATTCTCTTCACAATCTCTTAGGAATTTTATTCTTTTTAGTATGAGATTTTTGTTCGATAATTACTCAATCATAGTCAGAGCATGTTTACAACAAGAGCACACAGTTTTCGAAAATTCGAAAAATGTAGTATAAGCTTTTGGCATACCTTTAATTTATAGTTTTGATTTATATATGCATTATTTTGTTATATGTTAGGACAAAATGGTGGCTAGCTTGAAATTTTGACATTTTTTAAGACTACTAAAGTCACAACATTATAAATATTATACCATTTTTTCCCAACGTAATTTCACAAAAAAATTAAAATCATAAAGGAAAACACAAATATTGGAGTTTGTAGGAAGCTGACCTTGCTTGGAATGTGGCGGCCATGGAAGACGGAATCTTCGGGATCGGACTGGTTATAAGAAGGATATGAGTGAACGTAGATAGTAAAAAGATGTTCATGCCCTCGAAAGAATCTCTCCCACAGACGAGCTAGAGGTAAATGACCCTTTGTCATGAACATGAAAGCAACCTTTGGTGTTCGAGGAAAAGGGTAATTCTTGATCTTAGGTGCCATAGAAGCTCTCCATAGAAGCTCTTCGTCTTCCATGTCGTGCATAAGCTTCTCTGGTGGCTTGATAAAGCGTTCGAGCCCATCAAGCTCTAGCTCAGATGGAGGAGAAGGAGGAGGAGGAGGAGGAGGAAGAGAGTTGACGAGGAAGAGCTGAGAGATGCGTTGGATGCTGAGTGAAGAAGTGGAAGAGAAGTCTTGTAGAGAGGAATGGAGAAGGATACCGAAGATTATGCCGCAACAGAGGATAAGGGAATACGAAAGGAGATTGAGGAAATGATGGTATTGAGCATTGAGAAGCTTTGTTGTTAGAGATGGTGATGAAGAGGAAAATGATGATGAGTTTTGATCCTTTTGGTTCTTCATTGAGACAGAGACAGAGAGAGGATCAAGAGGAGTTCCAAAAGAATCTTTGTTGTGTGCTTGTGATGTTCCAAAAGAGGAGTGAATGGAGAAGGAGAGACAAGTTCTTTGCTTTAAGGGCAAGAGATACGATACCGCTTTTACAAGTGGAGAAAATTTCCTAATTTGAGTTTTTTTTTTTTTTTTTTTTTTGAGTTTTCTTTTCTTTAGGGTCAAAATGTAAATTTTGGGGTTGAAACTTGAAACCGTGGAATTTTCTTGTCGTCGAAAAAAAGAAAGAACTTTATATAAGATGTAAATAGTAACAGTGGAATCTAATAGAAAATTGAATTTGGCAGCTTTTCATGCATAATTGTTGGTGATTTCTCTTGAATTACAAAATTGGTTAATTAGTGGAATAACTGAAATTTATAGAATTAGCTGATACAGTATCTTAAAAACTTTTGAACATAAAATATTAAAAGGACATAAATTTACCATTATAAAATAATATAAAAATTAATGTAACATTTAAACATAAACTTATCATGTGGCTTTTCTTGAAATGAAAAATAAAATCAAAATCATTAAATATGTATTTAACAAAACCAAAGAAAAGGGAAAACGTCGATATGTCGCGTGAAGTTTTTTCTTACAATATTCAATGAAAATAAATGCTAATCCGCAAGTGCTAATAAGTTTAGGGAAATAACGCTGGACATTTTAAAGATTAACATAAATAAGTTGACGTTTTTTTCTTTTCATTTAGTAAGTAACGCGTTTCAGCATTTTTCAAATTTGAAGTAATTTTTTGTTATCATTTGTAACCATACATTTTCATTTACTATTATAAGAACTATATATAAATAGCATTTGATTTTTTTTTTTTTTTTTTTTTTTCGGCAAAAAATAGCATTTGATTATGTTTGTGAAAACCTTGTAAGTGCTAATAATTCTTCTTTATATCAATTGCAGGAAATGCCACTTAAAGTACTCGGAATAACAATAAAAATTTAAAAAGTTAAGAAAAATTCATAGTAATTAGCTTACTTTGACCTTGTGGATCGTTTTGTAAGCTATATTTTTCACCACTCGACGTATTAAAATGGTACATCTTACACTTAGAACAATGTATGAGCTGTTATAAATGTGAAACTAGATCTTGTCAATAGTAACTTCCTAATTATTCACTACCGTTTGTTTCATCTTAAATTCGCAATGGGACAAGGACAACTCTATTTTTTGTCAAAAAAAAATTATAATCAATATTTATGTATAATAAACTGTTGTTATTATAATTAACCATGAAAATATCCATTGCTATTGAAATCTTCATATATCGCTCGTATGAAATAGTCTAAAAAATTAAGTAGGTGCCGTCCAAAAAATAAAATGAAATAGTTCGTTATGGAAAAAACTTATTCTCGTATATGAAACCCAAATGAGCCTGATCACATATATTTTGTTGTTTTTAACTAAGCCATCATTACTCGTTTTAGCCATCACTATTCTTCGTCTAACATGACGGTTCTCAATGATTCAATTTGGAATCAGTGGCGGAGGTAGTGCTCTACCATGGATGTCAATTGACACCGATGGATTTTTAAAACCTAGTTTAATTTGATTATTCATTTATAAATTGACCCCATTATAAAATAAAATTTGACCCCCATCAAATTTTAATTTAAGAAACAACCACTAAATATTATATATCAAAAAGAATTATTATATTTAAACTCATTACAAATAAATTTTTAAAAAATAAAAAATAAAAATATTTTCATTAAAATGAGTTCAACCTAATTATCACTATTCTTTGGCTACTTTATGATTTCTTTTTCTTTTTCCTCTATTTCAATTAACGTTATCCATTGAAAACCATATTGGAAATAAAATTTTAAGTTAAAATTTATATACTTTTTAGTTTGACGTGAACCGTTTTGATGATTTTGCTCATATATTACAAAGACAAATATGCCTCATTTTTTATTTATCGACTTTTAAAACTATTTTTGATGTTTTAATTTGCAATTGCAACAGTTGAAAGAAATTTCTCTACTGTGAATATTTTGAAAACGACTTCACGTAATCGTATCGTTGATACAATTTCAAATAACTTTCTAGTTTTTGAATGAAAATACGTAACATTGTGACAAACAAAAAAATATTAAAGCATTTACAAGATAGAAATAATTCTATAATAGATGTCTAAAAATTATATTTTGATTATATTTTATTTTTTAATAAATTATATATTTTCTATATTAAAAACAAATTGACCCCTAAAAATGCAAAAACTTTGCACATTGTTGAAAGCTGGAAAAGCTGTTGTGATTTTCTAATCCGTGTGCAAACACTTTAAAGTAGCACTAAATTATAATTTATCATTTATAAATTACGCATTTTGTGTATATAGTTAATGTTTAAATAGTATAATATATGCTTTGTATGAACGGCCTCATAAAACTGTTCTTCGGAAATTTTTTTCTTAATTAGAAATACATAATAAACTTTTCAATTTAATTACATAGGCTAAATCATTTTCACTCACATAGTCACATGGATCATTTTTTTTTTGGCATCCATGGACAGAACCGACCCATAGCATAGGTATTTGCTTGTAGCCTTTAATAATATATATAATTTTCGGCCTTAGTTAGATATGTTTTTTAGAAAATATGCAAAAATAACCCATTTTTTTATTTGCTTGTGGCCTTCAAAAACTTAGAGTCGGCTCTGTTCATGGATCTACAGTTTTGTAAGAATTAAGATATAAACCATGAAAAAAATCTTATGACCTTGAATGGTTGTGGTTTTTCAAATGGTTTTTAGATTTAGTTTCTTCAAAAATCTATTTTATAACCATTTAAGATTTTGGTAAAAAACGATCCCTAAAAATTAGGGAATCTAGATTCTTACAGTTTTTACTAATTTCTTAATAAATCCAAAATCCTACTTAATTGAGTTTTTGGGAATTTGTTCTACGAAATTTTTTCATTATTTTCCATTTGTTTTTATTTACTTTTGTAAAGTCTAAAAACCAAAAACTAAAATCTATAATCTAAAAACTAAAATTTATAATCTAAAAACCACTTAAAATCTTCGAAACATTCATGGCCATATCTGAGATACATGAGATTAATTTTCTAACAAAAGCTTTTAAGCAATTTGTTACTTTCATTTGAAAAAGAAAAAACACACACAAAAGAGTATTTTGTCTTGAGAGAAAACATAAGAGACTAAATATCCGAATGAACAAGATATATGTTGGTGTTATTTCAAGATGATTTAAAATTTAAAATTTACTATGAAGGATCCCTTTTCATATAGTGAGCTTGGAAGCTCTAATATGTACTGGATTTAGGATATTTCTGTATATTTGTTTTTCTTATCAGGTAATTCTTTTTATTGGGTATTGTGGTGCCCAGTGGCCAGTGCCCACTTATGTAATTGTTTCTCCATTTTATTTCTTGATTTTACTGTCTAAGTGGTGGTTGGTTCTCTATAAGAGTTGGTATCATGTCTATAAATTGCATACTATAAACGTCAGGTAAATGAAATTCACATCTTTGTTCTATAAACATTGGATTCTAGTGGTTTTAATAGCAATCTACACGATCCTGCTTATACGGCCGCGTCATTTTCATTCTGGTAAATAAACTTACTCCAATAGTTACGAAAAATCCAATTTAGGTTTAACTTGTAGTGCTATAAGCTTCATATCGTTTTCATTACGATCTTATATATATTTTTTATACAATGAAATTGTTGCAAGCGTTAAGCAATGTAAACGTGAACGTTTCAAGAATGTATGGTGAACGATTATGGAGCCGGACCAATGAATTTTGGGGCCCAGTAGAATTAAGAAAAAAATAACATCATAATTTTCATAATATTAAAAATAATCAATTTAAATAAAACTATTATTTTAAAAGCATATTACAATTATATCCTTTTAAAAATAATAATAACTTATATACCTTATGAAAAATAATTTTTTTATGGTTTTTTTTTCAAAAATTATTCATCAAACTTGCTATTTTTTCTCATATTTACAATAATTTATATATATATGTATAACTAAAAAAATATTTACTTGAAGCCCCTCTAAAGTGGAGGCTCCATTAAAATGTTTAATCACCATGTGCTCAAGTCCGACTTTATTACCAGAAAACAATGTATATTATTGACAGATATGCAACAAACCTATGGGCAAAAAAGAAAGAAAGGTAAACCATATAGGTTTACTTAAAAGCAAGAAACTTAAACTTGCGACCAAAAAAAAAAAAAAATATCGATATATAGTATTAATATCCACTTATAACAAGGAGATATGGTTTTGGGAAAACAAACTGAAATAAAAAATATTGCATGGAAATACATAAAATAGTTCTTTCAAAGACAAAGATTGGTTAGTCTACTCCCATCAATTTTTGTAAAAGTAAATTATTATTGATGTAAGAAAATTTGTGATTTTAGTTTAAAGAATTAATGCTAGTGAAAGAGTACTAATAAGATGCTACATATATAACCAATTGATTTTGCTTGGATCATTAAAAAACTGTCTCAAAATGTTATACTCCATTGCGTGTGTATTTTTTATTTACGACTTCATCTTTCACGCCACAAGATCTCCAATTTTACTTGCTCTTCTCCACTTTTTCACCTCATTCCAACTAGGAAGTAAGATCCATATATCTTCTTTTAACCCTTAAAACATTGAAAACAAGAATTCTCCTACACATGTACCGGTAGTTGGAAATGCCGACCCAAAAGGACCAAAACTCACAATTATCTCTACTGATAGAGCTTCTCAAGAAACTACTCAACCATTTCCACAATCTCCTTTTGTATTTCCCCATCCTCTGGATCACCGTGATAGTCGGAATCATTGTTTATTCCTCTCTACAAGCAATATCTTCGCCTTCTTCGCTAACCGTCCAAAGTGTCTCCCAACTCTTCTTTGTAACCTCTCCTCCTCCTATTCCTTCTCCTTCATTTCAGGAAAATGGGCTCGAAAAGTTTCTGAAGCCAACGAAGAACATCATGCACGGAATGGAAGACAATGAGCTTCTGTGGAGAGCTTCAATGGATCCCAAGATCAGAGGTTACCCTTATCCTAGAATCCCAAAGGTTGCTTTCATGTTCTTGACTTGGGGACCTTTACCTTTGGCTCCTCTTTGGGAAAGGTTCTTTCGTGGGCATGAAGGTCTTTTCACTATCTACGTTCACACCAATTCGTCTTACGACGAGTTCATGCTCCAAGGCTCTGTGTTTTATGGCCGCCGTATTCCAAGCAAGGTCAGCTTAGCTTCCCACATTATTAAGAAATTTATTTTTGATAAAAATTTAAAAGGTTAAGAATTAATTTGATAAATAAGTTTTATAGATATATACATAATAAGCAGCCCCGTCTCTACCCCATGGCAGATTAGGCAAATGTCATGGGTCCACTACCAATTTCAAATATTTTCTTAAAGATAAAAGGCCCAATATTTTCAAAAAAAATTTTTACTAAAAAATTTTGAAATTTTTTTGGTTTTGCCAGAGGTCCCATGACATATTGAGACGGGACTGATAATAAGTAATATGTCTCTATATATAACGGACCGAAGTGTACCGTTAATTAAATGGTTTGTAGTAAACTACATAATTAAAAATATAAGACAAGTTATCTTAAAAAAAAAGCTTATATTAGTACACTTTAAAACTTTAAAATCAATCCAACGTCATTAATAATAAACGCATGCAGAGAGTGGATTGGGGAAACGCAAACATGGTAGAAGCAGAACGAAGGTTACTAGCAAACGCTTTATTAGACATCAACAACGAACGTTTTATTCTTCTCTCCGAATCATGCATCCCTCTCTTCAACTTCACCACAATTTACTCTTTCCTCATCGACTCCACTCAAAGCCACGTCGACTCCTACGACCTCCCCATTGGCTGCGTCCGTTATGACCGCCGCATGTATCCTCACATCCACATGCATCACTGGCGCAAAGGCTCTCAGTGGTTCGAGCTAGACAGAGCCATGGCCCTTGAGGTCGTCTCCGATACGATTTACTGGCCAATCTTTAAAGCTTACTCTCGCTACCCCGACGAGCACTATATCCCAACGTTATTCAATATGAGGCTGAGGCTCGGGTCGCGAAATGCCAACAGGACGCTTACTTGGACAGACTGGAGAAAGCGTAGGGCTCACCCGAGGTTGTTTGGTGAGTGGGAGGTCAATGTGGAGTTCTTGGAGTGGCTAAGGATGAAGAGTGTTGGTGATTGTGAGAAAAATGGAGAAAATAAGATAAAATTTTGCTTTCTCTTTGCTCGCAAGTTTTCGTCGACTACTTTGGATAAGTTGCTCCGGTTAGCATCTACCGTCATGTATTTCTGACCTCTCTTTTCATCCTTTTTTTGTTATAGGTGTGGAATTTTTTTAATACATGGATATGTAATAAATTAAAATAGATATCCAATTTGTTTTATTTATTATTTTATATGCTTTTAACTTTATTACAATTATATGTATATTTAGTTGTATATATGGAGTATCTAAACGACTAATGTGTATATATGATAATTCAGTCAAAATATAGAATTTCTGCTAATTATAATTGTAATAACAAATGATTAGCAAATAAAAAACATATAATTAACGTCTAATAGTAGTGAATGTTTGAGTGGTGGAACCGATATTAATCAACGCGTTATTCTAAATTCACTTAATAGCTTTCTATGAATTAGTTCCAAGTATTTTTGTTTATTTTATAAAAATCCAGATTATAATTAATACAGTAAAACCTCTATGAAATAATAATATTATGATCAATGAATTTTACTAAATTTTATTAATTTATCGTGTTTATTAATTTATAGAGGTGATATTTATGCCAAATTATCAATTTAGAATTGGAAAAAATTATTAATTTAACGAGGTATTAATTTACTGAATATTAATTTATAGAGGTTTCACTTTATCTGTGAAACAAGTTTTAGTCTCTTTCATTAAATATAGATGCTGATAATTTTTTATTTTTTTTTGTCAACCTGATAATTTAATTTTTAGGGAAAAAAAAACAAAAATTAAATAAAGATGATAAGGAAATAAGTTCATGGACATGGACATGATCGGTTAAGGAAATACGAGATCATGTCCTTAGATCTATTAGCATTCCGTTTTGTATCCATAAATTCGATGAAGTAAAAATGGTAGTTTATGGATGAAATAAGTTTGGTTGGAATTTGGATAAAGTTTGTACACCTTGAAGATGTTTGTCTTTATGTTCATGTAGTTTACGGATGAGAGAATAAGTTAAACCCTTGTATGAATTAAAATGTGTATTGGAATGTTATTATTGAAATATGTATGCTAACACAGGAGAAGTATTTAATAAGAGTTGTGATGTTGTATAATGTATAGTATATAACTAGTAAGTCTAGTATTCGTTTTTTTTTTTTTTTTTTTTGGTTGGCAACTATGATTCTCTAATAGCGAATTTGGTTTTACCTCTATTTAAATATTCACAGTTTGAAGTTTGTTATATTTGCAAAGGAGAAAAGAAATTTAAATTCTGAGCTAGGATTTTGTTTTTCATTTTATTTTAAAACAATTATTTTCATTTTAATTATCTTCCTCGTATGCTTAGCAAGTTTCTCATTAAGACAATAATCTCTCTAAAATCAAGACACACGCGTTCTAGTATTTTGCCTAGCAAGTTTTCAAGATGGAGACAACTTCATCCCAAGTATTCATAAAGTTTGGCCTCTCACCTTTTCACAAAAGAAAATCCAACATTTTAAAATCTTTTTTCCTTTTAAGTTAAAAATGTTAGATTTGTGACTTTACATGGTTTACAAGATAAGGATATGTGAGGCACCTCCCTAAATGGTCTTAAATTAGTAAGCAACATCTAGAAAACTAAAGCGAAACTGTAAACCTCAACCTTGTGATTATGGTGCCTTTTTTTCTTCCCAATTTCGAGCTGCTCACGACTGCATACCTATGATACAAAACATAAAATCTTTAATTTGATATTTTCTGCGTAGAAGATTTCATGTTTTGTATTCAGAAATATAAAGCCGTGTGCCCCTCATAACTAGAAAAAAGCATTATGATCACAAGGCTGACGTGTACAGCTTTGCTTTAGTCTTATGGGAGTTGCTTACAAAAAAAATACCATTTAGCGTAGTGTCTCACATCTGTATTTCATATACTGCAAACAAGGTAAAATCACAAATCAAATATTTTTAACTTAAAAGAAAGAGAAATTTTAAAATCTATGATTGTCTTTTCTAACAAAGTGAGAAATTTAGCCTTATGAATATTCTAGATGAATTTGTCTCCATCTTAGAATCTTGCTGGGCAGAATACTCGAATGCTCATTCTAAATTTAAAGAAACTACTATCTTATTGGAAAACTTGTTAAACAGTTGTGGTCAGATAATATTAGTGATACGATACTATCAAACGAAGAAGCTTATCGTGATGATGAAAATAATTATCTAAAATCGATTTAGATAAAAAAACAACAAAAAGAAAACAAATTAGAGTTTGTGTTCTCTTCAGTTTAGATGAGAACGAAGATGTCAACTAAATGTTTTTCTTTTTACTCTTCGAAGGCGAGAGATCGCTTATTTATTTGACACCCTCGCCTTCAAAAACCTAAAACCCCCGTTTATGGACGACGTTGTTGAAAAACAAAGTGTGTCCCGATTCTTATATAGATTGAGATATCAAGAAAATAAGGCATATTAATTAAAACTTTCAAAACTATAGTCAAATAATTTATCATAAAAACTTTCAAAACTAAAGTCAAATAATTTATGATATTCCCATAAACCGATTCAATTTTATTCAAAGTCAAAAAATCCATATATGAATCATTATGATATTACGAGGAAAACAATTGACCATTATAATTAGGCATGTCATTCAGTTTTTAGGTTTAGTTTCGTACGGTTTTTTGGAATTCAAATTTTTGGATTTTAAAAATAGGTCGCAAATAGAACCAACTTTTATTTTAGTGAAGTTAGGTTTAGTCCAAGTTCGGATTCAGTTAGATTTTAGATAAAATTTAGAATAAAAACAAAATAAATAATTATTCGAGTTCATACTATGCAGTCTAGTATTTTTATATATGGTTGATAAAAATATCAAATTTTCATGTATTACAGTTTATTCAGATAAATTAGTTTAGTTGCACTAAATTCAGGTTCGGTTTGGATAATTTGGTATAAAACTTTTTATACCGTTTATGTTATAATAAATTTAATTCGGATTTAAACTGATGGGTTTCAGTTTGTTGGTTTTTTTTACCACCACTAATCAATATTTTGTGATAGAAGTTAATATACAATATATAACTTAGTTAGGTCCACACGTTTTATTCTTCCTTCTGCATATGTTCATGCAATATATTTTCTTTCATATGCATCTCCATTCTCCATCCTATGCTAATAAAAATTTTGCGTTGGATTTGGTCGATACTTTATTAGTTCCTAAATGCGTTGGTGATATTTCCATATCATTAGTCATCTCTCTCACTTTTTTTTTTTTGGTAAGAGATGGGGGACTAGTCCCCCGTTTATTAAAAATTAAAAGGAAAAATTACAAACGGACTTGTCGTGGGCGCGTAGACCCTATGACATCGTCACTAAACAAAGAATCCACTACAATAGGAACAACATCAAAAAAATGAAAGCCAACCGGCAAAGAGAACGCATAGTTCGCTAACCCATCCGCAAGATGGTTAGCCTCCCTATACACGTGTGAAATTCGGACTATCCAGTCTTTCGATAAAAAGCCATGGCACAAACGTACCAGGAAAGACAACGGGTGCATTTCACTAACCCCTGTCTGAAGAAACCCAACAACCAACTCCGAGTCTACTTCTAACTCCACCCTTGTGACACGCTTCTCCCAAGCAATATATAGTCCGTAGTAGACACCCCACAACTCCGCTAAAGGTGCCGAACAACGACCTATATTTAGTGCAAAACCTCCGCACCAACCGCCATCTCGATCCCGTAACACTCCTCCTGCTGTCGCTAAACCCGGATTACCTCTCGAAGCTCCATCCGTATTAAGCTTAACCCAACTCTCCTGTGGAGCTACCCATCCGATCATGGCTTCAATCCGGCCTACCAAACTGCCGTTTACTTTATTCTTTTCATTACCCAGTGTTACTTCCTTAGCCAAATCCTTGATGAAGCGAGTTCTGTCCCTGCATTTACCCATGTTCCCAAAGACGTTATCACACCTCCACTTCCAGCTCCACCACACTGCAACCGCAAACATCGTAGCCCAAGTACTACCTTGAGTCTCTCCATCGTCTCCCAAGTTCTCATAAACCCATTCTATCAAAGTTGTGGAGAAAAAAGTATTTCTCCTCCGTCGAGGCAGTATACGAACCCATATCCCATTCATAGCCGGGCAATCTCGGAGTATATGCAAGATTGTTTCAACCCCTCCTTTGCAGACTTGACATATCTCCGAATCACATAAATGTCTCCGGTATCGCTTCGCATTCGTCATAACCGCTTGATGTCCTATCAACCAGAGAAAAACCCGCACCCTCTCCGGTGCCACCACTGTCCAGATCCGTCGATAGAACTTCTCCATATTTAGTTTTGGTTCGTCGTCTCGTGACAGTCGGGAGTAGGCGGAACTAACTGAAAAGTTTCCGTCCTCACTATCACCCCAAGATAAACGATCCCGTGCACCAGTGACGTGGTCAAGCACGACCGATGTCAGCTCAAGCTTTGTGTTCTCCGAAACATATGGCGTGATGCTAGCCATATCCCAACCCGAGCCATCTCTCCAAAGATCTCTAGCTAACATCGATTCATACCCATTTGGTAGCTCCACATCAGCATCAGTAGCGAGAATCTTTTTGAATAACCACCGGTCCATCCAAAATCTAATTTTTCGACCATCGCCTAATATCCAACTTTTTCCTGGGAGCACAACCTCACGCAGCCCTGTCATTACACTCCGCCAAGTCGATGACCAAGTACCTTTCGAAACCAACCACGACTCATCTTGAACGTCCCCAACTTTATATTTACTCATCACCAGTCTGGCCCAAAGACTTCCCCTATCATGAAGTAACCTCCAACCAAGCTTAGCAATGAGAGCTTTTTTGTGCCGTCCGAATCCCTAAACCACCTTCTCCTTTAGGCTTAGTGACCGTATTCCAAGCTACCAAATGCTGCTTCCTGTGATCCGGTGAGCTTCCCCACAGAAAAGATCTAGCCACCCGATCCAACTTGTCTAACATTGATTTTGGTAAACATATAGTACTTATTGCGTGAACTGGAATCGATGTTAAGACTGCCTTTGTCAGCGTTAACTGACCCGCAAGGCTGAGAAAGCGACCCTTCCACCCCGAGAGTCTCGAAGCCATCTTCTCAAGCACCTCTCCAAACGTATCTTTATTAATTCGCTTTTGTAACACGGTCATGCCTAGATATTTTCCCAATTCACGTGTAGATTTAATCCCGCTTTCGTCACTAATAAGTTTCTCCAAATCACGTGACATGTTATTAGAAAAAGATATTTTCGACTTCTCGAGACTCACCTTCTGACCCGATGCGCTACAAAAGTTCTCCAATACCCTCCTAATGATCCTTATTTGTGACACCGATGCTTCCGCAAACAAGATAAGGTCATCCGCAAAACAAACATGAGAGAGCTTCGGACCGCCTTGAGAGATAGAAATCGGCTTCCACTCCTTAGCTATAATAGACCGCTCTATCATATGGCACAACCTTTCCATGCATAAGACGAACAAATACGGTGACAGGGGATCCCCTTGTCTAAGCCCTCTCATTGGCTGGAATGGTGTCGTTCGCTCTCCATTCCATAGTAAGTTCATAGACGGGTTACAAACACACTGCATAATCCATCTAACCCATTTGTCAGACAACCCTACCGCTACCAACGTATCTTCCAAGAAGTCCCATCGGATCCGATCGTACGCTTTTTCGAGATCAAGCTTCAAAAGCATCCAACCTTTTCTCCCCTTTTTCCTTCGCATCGAGTGTACCGCCTCTTGTACAACCACAATATTATCAACACTGAGTCTGCCTGGTATAAAACTCGATTGGGCTGGCCCCACCAACTTATTCATCACCCCTTTCAGCCTTCCAACCATAGTTT